TTATTGCCCTTGTGACATTCACCTTCTTTTAGATGGGAGACAGTGAACCAAGCTAACAAGTAACAGAATTAGACTATTGTAAGGACTATGCAAAGTAAAGTAGGTAGGTAGAGAGGATGAGAGTGAGGACAGATTTCAGTTAGGAGAGGTGACATTTCAACACAACTGAATGGCATTAAGGAGCCCACCATGCAGAGATATGGGAAACAGCATCCCCAGAAAAGAAGACAGCCAGACTAAACCTTGAGGACAGACTAAACCTCAGCATAATTGAGGCAAAGGTGGGCAGTTTGGCTGGAGTAAGCCAGGGAATCTCCAGCTAGATCTTATGAGATATTTTTGGCTTCTTTAAGCATCTTCCATACTTTGGTGATCCAGTGTACAAGAGGTCCTTCATGGACCAGATCCTGAATATCCTACAGCCAAGTGGTTCTTCTAGATTTCTCATGTTCTGTTTTAATTGCTGTCATCATCAGAGCTATAGTATATAAAGCATTATATTAGTAACTGAGTTATTCAATTTAAATTAAAATTAGTACATATAATAATCTTCTAGCATAGGATTGGCAAACTTTTTGTAAAGGGTCAGATTGTAAATATTTTCAGCTTTGCTGATCTTCAGTCCCAGTTACCCAGCTCTGCTGTTGTGCCACAGAAGCAGCCATGGAATACATAAATAAATGGGCATGGCTTTTTTTTCATAAAACTTTATTTACAGAAATAACCAAGCCAGATTTGGACCACAGATCTGTTGTAGTACATTGTGAAATGCTGATAGGAGGAAGCAGCAATTTTAGTTCTATAATCATTCACTAAATTATTAAAGAGAATAAGCCTGTGGGGAATACAAAGATGGATGAATGAAATGTAATCCCAGTCTCCCATCCGTCTGGTAGGTGAGAAAAATATATATAACTAACAATACTTACTTTCATATTACTTGAAATACAAGAATATACTTATGTGATTGAAACAATGAAAATAAAAGACCTAAAGAAATTAGATTTCTCCTACAAATAGTTATTAAAGCAGGAGAATGATGTGATCAGATCTATGAGAAAGGATTGTGATGGCAATGTGGAGAATTGAATTGGATTGGGAGACCACGTAGGAGGCTGTTGTCCAGGCAAGAGATAATTAACATATTAGGATAAGGGCAGTGAGAATGGAGATGAAATGGATTCAAGAAGCCCCTCAGAGGAGAATCAGCAGGACTTAACAACTGATTGGACAAAAAATATTAAGGGGTAAGGATTGAAAATGATTGAGGTTTTTAAGAACAGAAGGTTTTGATGAAAATAAGATGTCAGAAATTCAGGTTTGAATGTAATGTGTTTAAGATACCTTCTGGACATCCAATGGGGAAAAACCTGGGTTAGAAGTTTGAGGTTTGAATCATTGATAGTCAAAGCAGTGAGCTGGAATGTAGTACAAAAAGAAGAGGGTTGTTATGAAACCTTAGGTAAGACCTGTCATTAATGGGCTGGTGAAAAAAGAAATGCCACCAAAAAAGATTGTAAAGAATCAGGGGTAGAAGAATAGTGACAGCTCAAAAGCCAAAAGAGGAGAATTCTAGGAAGAGAGGAAGTGACCAGGTACATCAGTACTGCAGAACCAAATGGGAAGAAAAGAGGAAGCTTTTAGATGTAGCAATTAAGAGACCATTATTGACCATGAAAAGAACAGCTCCAGTAAGTCTTTGTTCATTTGTCATTGGGCCCGATTCTAAACACAGGTAGGGACTGCTGCTTAGTGCTTTGTGGTTTCCAAAGCCATCTTCCATGGTCACTGCTAAGAAAAGCAGATACTGGATAGAACGCTGTCTGCAAGCTCAGTGCAGTGCTCCTCTGCATCAGATAGATCCTCAGACTCCACTCAACTCAGTACACCTTTCATTAAGACAGCAGGTACCCTAAAAAGAATCCCAGCAGTTTGTTAGTAGCATTTTTGGCAATGGCTAAAACCAACTCTTATCATTGACCAAAACTATAATAAACTGATAAAAAGTTATGATCTTGCCTCTGATTCATCTGTGTAGGTAGGCACAGAAGGTTCTTGCTACAGAGATGACATGGAAATGCAGAAATGCCCAGTAAGAATCCAGGCTGGAAGAGTGGACAGATAGTCATTACCTATGCAGTAAGAAAACATGTTAAAGTAGGTAAGCCAAAGAATCTGGAAAACATAAAGATATATATAAACATATATAAAACATTAAAAAAATATATATATATAGTCCTTATTCAACTTTAAATGTGACTATGGAGACAGAAACAAATCATAATTCTTTTGAATGAATCATTCATAAAATTATAAGATTTTCAGGGTTTAACATGTTCCTTGACAGATTATTCATTATGACTTTATAACTTGTCAAAACTATCTTTCATTTTTTGTATGCATGAACCTGATTTCTAGAAAAGATATTTTTAAAGTGAAAACAATTTTTACCTGACTCTCAATAAGTAATCTACTGTTGTTTGGAGGTGCACAGGAGCTATTCAAGTACTAATTATACCTCACCTTATTCCAAAAAGGATTTAAGTCACCTTTAAAGTTTTAGAAAGTTAATACATTTCTGTGATCATTTACATTCTGTGTTTGGGACAGGTAGGTAGAGAAGAAGTCTTTTCAGTTAAAGATTAAAGACAAAAAAGAAGGAAATAAATAAGGTTAAAGGAAATCTCATCGGCTCACTTAACCAGAGTATAATCATGTGACAACATTTAGGACTCACATGTTAAGAGCAGTCAGGAAATCCTGGCTCCAGATGCCTAAGGACTGCTGTCTGCTTGATGATTTGCTGCAGACATCTCCAGGCCCCAAGATGATATTTCTGTCTCTTAACAGACACCAAATTGTGTGTGATTTCTCTAACAGTACTTCCTTCTGCCTGCCAAGCTACCTGCCATTTTTACATTTGTAGCCCTCCAGTTCTCTAAAGCAAATTTAAAACATTCCTTTCTTTCTACATGTTCACTGAGGGCTCAGTAATTGGGCAAGTAAAGATTATAGAGTACTCTACAGCTTACAAAGAATGAAAGCTAGCATATTAGCAGAGTGTAGGCTTTTTGAGATCAATTGTCTAGATCCAAAACCCTGACCTGATACTTACTATCCTTGTGACCTGGGGGAAGGCACTTCAATTTTTTGTCTTTACTTCCTCTTCCATAAATGGGATCAATACTGCATTCCTCAGCATCAGTTAAAGGAGATAATTCATGCTTACAACAAGTACATAGTAAGGACTGACAGGTAACACATGGTAAATGTTAGTTGGTATTATAATCATTATCATGACTTTTTAAGAACCTGTTCATCTACAGTATCCTACTTGGGTTTTGCAATAGTAAGTTTTAAGGACTTAAGTATTATTAGCCCCATTTTATAGACAGACCCTAAGGCTTTGAAATTTAACTTGCCCGATGTCATCATTGGCAGAATTAGGATTAGAATTTTATTAAAGACAGAGCCCCCCTTAGGCTGGCAGTTAGACTAAGGGGTGAATAGGTTTCATCTCAGCAGCCAGCTCTAAACAGTCAAAGGGGTTGCTTAGAACCCTGTTTTAAGAATTCTCAAAGCAGACCCACGCTCATTAAATGCCTGACTGACTGGCAGATTTTCCATGGGCTCAGGAGCATGGAGCAGAATTGCATTGTTTCTTTCCTTTTTCTTAAAAATTTTTTTACTCAAAACTGAAAGTTTCTTATTGACCCTAGTTTTCCTTTATGAATGAAATTTTTAGGTAAATTTGAACACATCTTGTAATTAATTTATAGGATATAAAGTCACTAATTTATAGGATAATTTTAGCCTTATAAGTTTGCTAGAGAATTACTAGTCCTAAAATATTTTCTAACTAGGGTAGTTGATAGAATGATTGTCTTACAAGCCCTTTCTCTTAATCCTTCTCATTTTCTGCTCTCATATGGGCATACAGGTTGAAAAAAAATCTGTAATCACCATTTACTTCTAATTTGAAAGTTAAGTTTTAAAACACACTAATGGCACTTTGAAAAATAATTGAGAAAACTGTTTTCGTATGTAAACCAAATACTAGTCTCCTTGGAAGTCAGAGAAGTTGTTTTGGATATATCATGTTAAGTACCATTTTAAATACAAAGCTAAGTTTCTATGGAGTTGACATATCTGATCTGCCTCTGACTTGGTTTTATTTTAGCTGGTGTTATCCCGTCCCCAGTATATTTGATCTTATGGTGGGGAAGCAGCAACTCTATATTTTAAATGTTGACATTACCTAAGTGTGAGAAAAGCCAGAGCTGAATTCCGGGTTCCACCTTCTGTGCAAGAAAATGCCTCAGGAAAAGCTGGCCAAAACAACACGAGTTCACCCCAGAGCCCAGCTTGGGTGTGGCACTGGAAGACTTAGGCAGCCCATCTCCCAGTATGAAGTACTTGGGGAAAACCTGCAGACAAAGCTCACCAAGTGTGAGAACCTGGCACTCCATTCTCTAGCTGTAAAGAAATACAGTCGAGGTGGGAAGGAATACACTACGGTGATTATCCCATGTCAAACTCTGTGCATTTTACTGGATTACTAGAATCATCTAGCCTCCAGTTCTTGCTAAGATACCTTCAGGGATATAGAGGATTTACCACCTCCTCTAAGTTCCAGCCATCTTTGGATGATTCTGACAAATATTTCCTTTTACATCTGCTTTCTGTGTGAGATGGTTAAGCAAGGAAGAAATCTGTCTCTCAGAAAATGACATTTCCCAATCCACACTCACAACTGTGGAATTTTTGCTCTGACTTGAGCTTTATTGATTTATTCAGAAAAAAATGTTTATTTATATTCGATGTGCCTAGTGGCAATGACCAAGGTTAAATAAGCATCTGAAAGTTTTGTGGAAAGTGTGAAACTTTTTGGGGAAAAAAGAATTTTTTCCCAAAATAGCTTTCCAGGAATGTAACTTGCAAAGTAACCCCTTAATCCTTCCCATGTTATGGATATGCATTAAATATTCTTATTCTTTCAGACTGACCCCAATTCTTGGCATTCAGAAACACTCTCAGGAAAATGTGGTGTTCACACAGTTCATAACCACCCTGCTTGAAGAATTACATTTAAGGAATGAAGATCTTGAAAGTTTAACCATCATATTTAGAACCAGCTGTTAACCAGAGTGGTGAGTTCATCTGTGTTTTGCTTTTGTTTGTTTGTGTTTGGTTTGTCTCATTTGTTGCCTGTTTGGTTTCTTCTGTCATATTGGGAATTTTAAAAACCAAGTACAGACCTCAGGATGTCCTCAGTTTGCTAAGAAAGACCCACCACCACATCCCTAATTTCTCCATTCCTCTGGTCACTTCCTGTCCCCTCATTACTTTGTGCCCCACCCTTGTTACTATTCTCCCTTTATTGGCTACCACAGTTCTGTTTCTTATAATCCAAGAAACTCCCTGCTGTCAGATTCACACTCCTAGACCATTCCACATGTCCCATCTGATAAGCTTTTCCCCAGGAAATAGCCGTTTACTTCAACCAAATTCCTGCAACGATCCATTGAGAACATCCTCATCCTACTTTCTTCTTCAAAGAAATCACCCTCAACCCAGCCAATACCTTAGTCATCTTATGTGCAGGTAAGCAGGTGAATTTACAGGTCTGGCTTTGCTGAATCCTGACTGCTCCCAGACACATAGCCCTCTTCTACTATCCTAAATTCTTGCCTCTCTCGGAACTGCCCGTCAGAATGTCCCTTCCTCTTGCTTTAATCATAACTCTCCATCTCTTCTTCCCCTTACTTCTCACTTCATAAACTCTCAAGTGCTCAGGTAGGTATCGATTTTATATTATGATGGAAGAAATTCATCCTAAACTACAAATGAGACCCCATCAAGGAGCATTTTATGGGTTTTTAACTTTCAGTTATTTTTAAAATTATATAAATAGAAACTTGTATAAAAATTAAATACACAATTGCATATATAATTTTAAAAAGGAAAATTCTCCTTACCTCTGTGTCCAACCCTGTCTCCTTTCCAGAAGCACATTTGGTGTATATCACTTTATATTTTATTTAAATTTTTGTTTAAAAAAACTCACCAAGCAGATCTTTCCTTTATAAAATTTTTTATTGCGGTGGACAAAATGTTATATTAGGTGCAAGTGTACAACATAGTGATTCAACATTAATAGACATTACAAAATGCTTACTGTGGTTTAAGTGTAGTTACCATCTGTCACCATACAAACTATCGACTATATTCCTTACACTGTACTTTTCATCCCTCTGATATACTTAATTTATAACTGGGAGTTTGTACCTCATGATCCCCTTCACCTATTTTGAGTAACCCTCCCCACTCCTTTCCCCTCTGGCAACCAGCAGTTTAGTCTCTGTATTTTTGAGTCTGCTTCTAGGAGTTTATTTTGTTTTTTAGATTCCATATGTAAGAGAAATTATATAGTATTTGTCTTTTTCTGACTTCAGTTGGCATAATACCCCATAGATCCATCCATGTTGTCACAACTGGCATGATTTTTTTTTATGGCTGAGTAATTTCTATTACATATATACACATCTTATTTATCCATTCATTCGTCTATTAATGGACACAGGTTGCTTCCATATCTTGGCTATTGTAAATAATGCTGCACTAAACATAGGAGTACATATATCTGTTTGAATTGGTGTTTTTGTTTTCTTTGGGTAAATACCCAGAAGTGGAATTGCTGGGTCATTTGGTAGTTGTATTTTTAATTTTTTGAGGAACGTCCATACTGCTTTCCATAGTGTCAGCACCTGTTTACATTCTCTCCGAGAGTGCATGGGGTTCCCTTTTCTCTCCATTCTCATGAACACTTGTTATTTCTTGTCTTTTTGACACTGTCTGTTCTGTGAGGTGATACCTCACTGTGGTTTTGACTTGCATTTCCTTTATGATTAGTGGTGTTGAGCATCTTTTCACATGTCTGTGGGTCATCTGTATGTCTTCTTTGGAAAAATGTCTATTCAGTTCACCTGCTTAAATTTTAAGTCATATTATTGGCTTTTTTGGTGTTTAGTTGTATGAGTTCTTTATGTATTTTGTCTTTCATATATATATTATATACCCTCTTATCAGATATTTTATTCTAAGTATTTTATTCTTTTTGATGCAATTGTGGCATGGTTTTCTTAATTTTTCTTGTTGCTAGTTCATTATTACTATGTAGAGATTTGACAGATTTCTGTATTACTGATTTTGTATCTTGAAACTTTGCTGAATTCACTTATTCTAATATTTTTTTTGCTGGAGTCTTTAGGGTTTTCTATATATAGTATCATGTCATCTGTAAATAGTAACAATTTTACTTCTTCATTACCAATTTGTATGCCTTTTTTTCTTTTCCTTATCTGATTGCTATGACTAGGACTTCCAGTACTGTGTTGAATAAAAGTGGTAAGAGTGGACGTCCTTGTTTTCTTACTGACTTTAAAGGAAAAGCTTTTAGCTTTTCACCACTTAGTATGATGTTGGCTGTGGTTTTTTATTCATATGTGGCCTTTATTTTATTGAGTTATTATGTTGAGTTTTGTTCCTTCTATACCACTTTGTTGGGATTTATCATGAGTGGATGTTAAATTTTGTCAAATGCTTTTTCAGCATCTACTGAGATGATCATAGGGTTTTTATCCTTCCTTTTGTTAATGTGATATATCACATCGATTGATTTGGGGATAGTGAAGCATCCTTGCATCCCTGGAATGAATCCCACTTGGTCCATGATGATCTCTCTGATGTGTTTTTTAATTTGGTTTGCTAATACTTTGTTGAGGATTTTTGCATCTATGTTCACCCAGGGTGTTAGTCCATAATTTTCTTTTTTTGTGGTGTCTTTGTCTGATTTTGGTATTAGAATAATGATGGCCTCATAGAATGAGTTTAGGTGTTCCTTGCTCATCTATTTTTGGAATACTTTAAAAAGGTAGGTATAAGCTCTTTAAATATTTGGTAGAATTCAACTGTGAACCCATCTGCCATTGAACTTTCATTTATTGGAAGTTTTTTGATGATTGGTTCAATTTCATTTCTAGTAACCAGTCTGTTCAGGTTTTCTATTTCTTCCTGATTCCTGAGTCTAGAAGAATATGTTTCTAGGAATTTACCCACTCCTTCAGGTTGTCCAATTTGTTGGCATATAATTTTTTGTAGAAATCTCTTATTATCCTTTGTAATTCTGTGGTGTCGTTTGTAACTTCTCTCATTTCTGATTATATTTGTTTGAGTTCTCTTTTTTTCTTGATTAGTCTGGCAAAAGGCTTATCAATTTTGTTTATCTTTTCAAAGAACCAACTCATTTTATTGATCATTTCTACTGCTTTTTTAGTCTCTTTCATTTCTACTCTGATTTTCCATTATTTCCTTCCTTCTACTAACTTTGGGCTCTGTTCTTTTTTTTCTAGTTCTTTTAGTTGTAAGGTTAGATTGTTTGAGATTGTTCTTGTTTCGTGAGGTAGGCCTGTATCCTATAAACTTCCCTCTTAGATCTGCTTTTGCTGCATCCCAAAGATTTGGAACCATTGTGTTTATGTTTTCATTTATCACCAGGTATCTTTTTTTCTTTGATTTCTTCAATAACCCACTGGTTGTTTAGTGGCATGTTGTTTAACCGCCATGTGTTTATGTTTTTTCTTGTTTTTTTCCTTGTACTTGATTTCTAGTTTCATACTTTTGTGGTCTGAAAAGATGCATGATACAATTTCAGTCCTATTAAGTTTATTGAGACTTGTTTGTAGCCTAGTGTGTGATCTACTGTGGTGAGTGTTCCATGTTCACTTAAAAAGAATGTATATTCTGTTGGTTTGTGATGGAATGTTTTATATATATATATATATTAAGCCCATCTGTTCTAATGTGTTGTTCAGCACCACTGTTTTCTTACTGATTTTCTGTCTGGGTGGTCTATCCATTGACATAAGTGGGATATTGAGACCCGCTACTATTATTGTATTACTATCAATTCCTCCCTTTATGTTTGTTAATATTTGCTTTATATATTTAGGTAGTCCTCTGTGAGTGCATAGATATTTACAATTGTTATATCTTAATGAACTGACCACTTATCATTATATAATGCCCTTGTCTCTTTTTACATTCTTTGTTTTGAAGTCTATTTTGTCTGATACAAGTAATGCTACCCCTAATTCCATTTACATGGAATATCTTTTCCATCCCTTTACTTTGTCTTTATGTATCTTTAGGTCAGAGCGAGCCTCATGTAGCAGTCTATAGATGGATCTTACTTTATTAATCCATTCAGCCAATTTATGTCTTTTGATTGGAGCAAATAGTCCATTTAACATTTAAAGTAATTATATACTTTATATAGGTGTATACTTGTTGCCATTTTGTTCATTGTTTTCTGATTGTTTTTGTAGTTTTTCTCTGTTCCTTTCTTCTTTTACTCTTCTACCGTGTGAGTGATGATTTCCTTTAGTGTTATGCTTGGATTCATTTCTTTTTATTTTTTGTATATCTATTACAACTTTTTGGTTTGTGGTTACCATGAGGTTCATATTTAGCATCCTGTATTATTAGGCTGATGGTTGCTTAAGTTTGAACACATTCTAAAAGCACTACTTTTTTCATTACTTTTGTCTCTTTTTTATTATTAGCTTCAAGAGTTTATTTTGGAAAACAAGATTATAGAAAAAGTCAAGTGTACACCTGAGAGTTGGGGTGTGGGTGCTCCCTGAGGGTCTGTTACTTTTGTCCTTTGAACTTCATACTAGCTTTATAAGTAACTGACCTACTAACTGTATGTTTGTTTTTACTGGTGAAATTTTTTTTATTTTCTAATTTTCTTCTAGTTATGGCTTTTTATTTTCCATGTAAAGAAGTTCCTTTTTACATTTTTTGTATGGCCTGTTTAGTGGTGATGAACTCCTTTAACTTTGGCTTGTGAAACTGTCCCTCCCTGCTTCAATTCTGAATGTTAACCTTGCCAGGTAGAATATTCTTGGTTGGGGGTTTTTCCTTTCAGCATTTTAATATACCCTGCCACTCCCTTCTGGCCTGTAAGGTTTCTACTGAAAAATCAGCTGGTAGCCTTATGGGGTTTCCCTTGTATATACTTGTTTTTCTGTTGCTGCTTTTAAGAGTCCCTCTTTATCCCTAATCTCTGCTATTTTAACTAATATGTGTATAACATGGACCTCCTTGAGTTCATCTTGTTTGGGATTCTCTGTGCTTCCTGGATCTGGGTGTCTTTCATAGGGAAGTTTTCAGCTTTTATTTAAGTTTTCTGTCCCCCTCTCTCTCCTTCTTCTTCTGGGACCCCTATAATGCAAATGTTGTAATGCCTGAAGTTGTCTTTGCGATCACTTAATGTATCCTCATTTTTATATTTTTGCTGCTCAGCTTGATTGCTTTCCAGTAGTCCATCTTCCAGAATCACTAATGTGTTCTTCCACATCCTCTAATCTGCTACTGAATCCCTCTAGTGTATTTTTTATTTCAGTCATTGTATTCTTCATCTCTGATTCTTTTGTATACTTTCTCTTTGTTAAAGTTGTCTCTGAGTACATCTACTCTTCTCTCCAGTACAGTTAGTATCTTTAGGACCATACTTAGAACTCTTTGTCAGGTAGATTGCTGATTTCTGCTTTGTTTAGCTCTTTCTCTGGCATTTTTGTCTTATTCTTTAATTTGGAATGTATTCCTCTACCTCCTCATTTTGTATGACTCTCGTTTGTTTCTATGTATTAGATAGGTCAGCTGTATCTCCTGGTCTTGAAAGCAGTGGCCTGATATACTAGGTGTCAATATTACAGTACCAGGCAGTCCAGGGTGTCCTCTGCATGGGTTGTGTGCACTCTTCTGTTGTAGCTGGGCCATGACCAAAGCTCTGAGTGTGCTGGAGGGTGGGGCCAGCCATCCACCTGGCTGTCAGCAATGACCAGCTGTGACTACTATGGACATGCTGGTGGGGATGGCTTACTCCCTTGTGGCTGCCTGAGAGGACCTGCTGTGTTAATGCAGACATGCAGGTGGATGGGGCTAGCTCTTCCTCTCCCCAGGACAGGAGTTGCTCTGGAGGGGTGCTGGTGCCAGCTCGGTGGGAGGGTGGGACCTGTATCCAGACAAGTTAGAACTGGCTCCCACAAGCATCCAGCCAGCTAGATTGAAGAGGGGCAAGAAAAATGGTGCCCACCAGTCCCTCCTTCCCTAGAGAAAGCCCCTGCGGATTCCTGCCCTTCCAGCACATGTCCCAAAGTTAGTCAATACATCTTCACATCATACCGAGGCACTTTTCTAACTGCTGCCTGTAGGCTGGGTCTCAGACTAATCAGCACAGCATGCTGGCCCTCCAAGAACAGACACTTGGATACTCTCCTGGAGTTAAGTAAGCCATCAGAAGCCATCTTCCTGCTGCAGGTGCCCAGGTCCAGGGATATCCAGTGAGGGGCCCCTCATTGCTCTGTACCTCCCTCCCTCCCACCTGTGGGCATGGTAAGGGTTTTGATCTGAACCATGGCTCTGCCCATTTTGCTCTTTCTGATTTGGCCTTCTCTTTGTCATTACCTGTAGAAGATCAGTTCCCCCAATCTTCAGGTGATTTTCAGGGTGAATTACATAATACGTAGTCCCTGCCTTGGTGTGTATGTGGGAGAAAATAATCACAGGAACCTCCTATTCTGCCATCTCCCCAGAATCGTCTATCTTCAAGCAAATGTTTATTTGAGGCTATTTGAGAGAGGTATTTTGGCAGACAAGAAAGAATGGCATCCCTTTATTAAACCTGCCAGAAAACAAAATATAAGGAACACTGTAACTGCCTCCTAACTTATACCCAGTGACCTTTTCCAATGATCCTGCTCCCCTGATGACCCTATAAAGCAAAGGTTGTAAGCTCAGGTTGGCCTGTGTGAGCATCAATTCAAAGGCCCTTCTAAGAATACAGTTAGATTGGATTGTTTTATTTAGCTTCTAGTACAGAGGATTGAATTAATTATACCCTTCATGATACCCTATCTCCATTGGTTGAAAGGTTTATTTTCCAGATGGATTGAAAACAAAGAGTGCCTAACCAGAAGTCCTTTTAGACCTATTTTAATGAAGTACCAATTAAGTCATTTTCAATTAGTATATTTAAAACTTGCATGCAAACAGATGGTGTAAAAGCATCTTTTGTTTAGTCACTAAAAGTACTTTAGATAAACTTAACAGTTCCCCTGTGATCATTGTTTATTTGTGTCAGTAATCAAAGTAAGCCTACCCTGATTTTGTCAGTATAAGGGATTCTGAATGAATGGGCCTTATTACAGTGATTTTCCATAGGGGACATGGTTTAGAGTGAGTGGACAGATTTTTTTTTTTATGTATTTGCATGATTTTTACAAACCATAAGTTCATTTGAGTATAAAGATAGTAATGTCTAATAATAACCTTTTCAAGATTAAACTATTACTAGCTAGCATATGTTAATATATGAGCTCTCAGTGGCAAATAATGGGAAAAAATCCAACTCAAAACTAATTTTTCTTATGATGGTACATTATCTTTTGCTGCCTAACAAATTACTCCACAACTTAGTGGCTTCAAATAAACACTTTTTATCTCATAGTTTTTAAGTCAGGAATTCTTGACACAGTTAAGGTAACTGGTTCAGATGCTCTCATGAGGTTGTAGTTAAGCTGTTTAACAGGGTTATGATGTCACCTAAAGGCCCAAGTAGAGAAAGAGCTCCTTCCAACCTCATGTAGTTGTTGACACAGTTTTGTTCCTCATGGGCTGTTGAACTCAGGGCCTCAGTTTCTCACTGGCTGTTATCTAGATACAATGTCTCACAGCTTTCTTGACACATTCATACTGTACCTCAGAACCTGACCTGTGGCTTTCTTCAAAGTGAGCAAGTGGAAAAGATAGCCAAAGATAGAAGTCACAGTCTTTTTGTAACTAATCTCAGAAGTGACATCCCATCGCTTGCTGTGTTCTATGACTAGAAACTAATCACTAGGTCCACACCACACTCAAGCTGAGAGGACTGTATAAGGGCATGAATACCAGGACCATTAGGGGCCCCTTAGAAACTGCCAACTACAGGTGGCAGAATTGTTCAATAGTTCCCAGCTTTATACATAGCATATCACATTGTCCTGGTGAATCTTGAATTTCATACTAATTGAGGGCACCCCTGAACCAATCCACTTGGTCATGGGAATGCTATGAGCTAACTGAGTTATTCTGGGAAGGGGTGGTTGAGAGAGAAAAGGATTTTCTTACCAATCTAGACCTATCAAAGGCCTAACACCCAAGTTGAATATGAAATTTGGTCTATTCCACCCAAACTACTATTGCTACATATGAGAGAAAATGGAATGTGTATATTGGGAAGGCAATACAATGTTCTCAAAAGCTGATAAACTATTTTAGGTGTTTTATTCAGACTGTCCTTTTTTGCTTCACAGGTATAAACCATGAAGACCAAATAAAAGATGAACTTCTATTCACCATTTTCCAGAATTCTAGCCACAATGATGGTCTGATGGCGATTGATACCTAGCTTTGTTCCAAGAAAGACTTTTGCCTCCGATTTCAACCCCCTGCCTTCCAGTCCCTAACTGTACAGAGAGACTTACCCAGATAGAGGAGAACCATTATTCTAACAAAGATAACCAAGTCCTTGCATCCCTATGTAAGATGCAGTATTTTTATTTGAAAACGAAAGATGAAGTCTTAAATTGAAACTTGAAAGTTTTTTAAAAATGTACTGACCTATTTTTTCTGGTATAAGTTGACCAAAAAATTGAGTAAATCTCCATTTTGACCTCACAGTCTAATAATAAAGAACAGCAAAGAGGTCAGTAAATGTAATCTAAGATGAAGCCCTTTAGAAGTCTGGTCATTATTCTTTTAAAAGAAACTAACTGTGCTATAAAATGCTCTTGAGCAATGTGTTTAACCTCACAAATCCAAAATAGGAGTAGCCCAGAACTTTCTGGACTCAAGGAAGTTGTTTGTTTTTTTTAAGGAAAAAAAAGAATTATTTGTAATTTGCTTTTGAGAGAGAGAATCTCTAGAATGTACACTGCTTTTTCAAAATGTGTATTGAGCATAAGTCAGCAGGGCCCCCAGAGCAGTTAGGGGTGAGGGGATTAAACAATTGAGGTAACTTTACTGGAGGATCAAGAAACAATAACATCAGATCTGTACTCTTGGACACTGGAGAAAATGACAGCTGATAAAGGCCCAACCTTGGAAGGGGGCTGGAAAGCAACCTGGTTTAGTGGGGAGCTCAGTAGACAGGAATATGCAAGTTCAGCAAAGTCACAGGCTACAATATGAATATACAAAAATCCAGTGGTTCTTTCTGTATACTAGAAATGAAAAAACCAAAAATGAAATAAACAATTCTATCCATAATAGCACCAACAATAATTCCTTAAGGATAAATTTAACAAAAGACTTATACAATGAAAATCATAAAACAAATTAAAGAAACTGTAGAAATAGCCCATGTTCATGAATTGGAAGATTCAGTATTGTTAAAATGGCAGTCCTCCCCAAATTGAACTAGATCAATGCAATTCCTAGTAAAATTCCGGCAGGCATTTTTGAAAAATTGGTAAGTTGATCCTAAAATTTCCAGGGAAATGCAAAGGACCCAGAATAGCCACAACAATTCTGAAAATGCTGAGCACTTCCTGATTTCAAAACATACTGCAAAGCTGCAGTAATCAAGACATTGTGATACTGATATAAAGATCGGTATAAAGATCAGTGGAACAGAATTGAGAGACCAGGAGTAAACCCTCATGTTGATGGAGAACTGATTTTAAACTAACATGTCAAGGCAATTCAATGGAGAAAGGATGGTCTTTCCAACAAATTGTGCTGGAATATTTTGCTATCAGATGCAAAAAAGTTAATTTAGACCGTTAGCTCCTATGACATGCAAAAATAAATCCAAAATGGATCAGAGACCAAAATGTAAGAGCTACAAGTGTAAAATTTTTAGGAAAAAAAAAACCTGCATGGTATTGGGTGAGGAAGAGTTCTTAGGTAAGATGCAAAAAAAATGCATAAAGGAAAATATTAATAAGTTGGATTTCATCAAAATTAAAACTTCACTTCAAAAAAAATGTAAGTGAACTGATAAGCCACAGACTGGGAGAAGATATTTTCAAATAATATTAAAAGACTTATATCCAGAATCTATAAATAACTCTTAAAACTCAAGAACAAGATAATAAGACCCAGTAATTCTACTTCTGGATATATACCTGAACAAAACAGTAATTGAGAATATATGCACCCCTATGTTTATTGCAGCATTATTTACAAGAGCCAAGTTATGGAAGCAACCTAAGTATCATATCAACAGATGACTGGATAAATAAGATGTGGCACATATACACAATGGAATATTACTCAGCCATAAAATAGAATGAAATCTTGCCATTTGTGTCATGAATGGACCTAGAGAGTATTATGCTATGTAAAATAAGACAAAGACAAATACCATATGATTTCACTTTTATGTGAAATCTAAAAAAAGCAAAAAACAGAAATAGACTCAAACACAGAGAACAGACTGGGGGTTGCCATAGGAGTGAGGGAAGGGTGAAGTAGATGAAGTGCATGAAGAGGTACAAAATTCCAATTACAGAATAAGTCATCAGGATAAAATGTACAGCATAAGGAATATAACCAATAATATTGTAATATCTTTGTATAGTGACATGGTAACTACACTTATGGTGAGCATTTAGTAATGTATATAATTGAATCACTATGTTGTACACCTGAAACCAACATAACATTGTATAGCAAGTACAATAAAAATCAATTTTAAAATGGGCAAAAATTTGAGTAAACATTTATTTCAGCAAAAAACATATAAAAATGGCTTAGCATATGAAAAGATGCTCAACATTACTAGTCCGTAGGGAAATACAAGTTAAAACTAAAATTAGATACCACTTCACACCCACTAGGATGATTATTAAAAAAACAGTGTTGGTGAGGATGTGGAGGGAAGAGCCCTAATACATTGCTCTTGGGAATGTAAAATGGCATGGCCACTTTGGAAAACAATCTGGTAGATTCTTAAAAAGTTAAACAAATACATTGCTCTTGGGAATGTAAAATGGCATGGCCACTTTGGAAAACAATCTGGTAGATTCTTAAAAAGTTAAACATGTTTACCATATAACCCAGCAAATTCCACTTGGAGTTCCATCCTAAGAGAAATGAAAACATGTTCACAGAGACTTGTAGGTGAATATTTATAGCAGCATTATTCAGATAGTCAAAAAGTGGAAACATTCTAAATGACCATCAACTGGTAAATGGATAAACAAACCCACACAAGGCAATACTAATACATGTTACAACATGTATGAACCTCAAACATACTAAGTCCAGCACAGTAAACTAAAGAAAGTATGATTATATTTATGTGAAATGTCAGAAAATGAAAATTTCTAAAAGAGATACTAGATTGGTAATTGCACTGGGCCTAAGGTAAGAACAGGGATTGTCAGCAAATAGATAAAAGACATCTCTTTAGGGTAAAGAAAATGTTCTAAAAATAGTGATAATTGCACAATTTTGTAAACTTTAAAAATAATTCATTTGTGTACTTTGATTAACAGGTGAATTTTATGTATATAAATTATACCTTAATAAAGCTGTTAAAAATTATAGATGATGTCCACACTACCCAAAACAATTTACACTTTAATGTAATCCCTATCAAAATTCCAGTGGCATTTTTCACAGAAATAGGAAAAACAATCCTAAAATTTGTATAGAACCACAAAAAAACTCCAAATAGCCAAAGCAATCTTGAGAATGAAGAACAAAGCTGAAGGAATCACACTGTCTGATTTCAAACTACATCACAAAGCTACAGTAATCAAAACAGTATAGTATAGGCATAAAAACACACACAGATCAGTGGAAAAGAATAGAGAGCCCAGAAATAAACACACACATAGATGGTCAATTAATTTACAATGTAGCCCAGAATATACAATGGGGAAAAGCCAGTCTCTTTGATAAGTGGTGCTGGGAAAACTGAAAGGGTATATACAAAAGAATGAAACTGGACTACTGTCTTACACCATATACAAATAATAACTCAAAATGAGTTAAAGACTGAAATGTAAGACCTGAAACTGTAAAATTCCTAGAAGAAAACATAGGCCATAATTTCCATGACATCAGGCTTGGCAATGATTTTTTGGATTTGACAACAAAAGCAAAGGCAACAGGTAATACATCAAACTTTGCTTCTGCACAGCAAATGACACCAATAAATATGAAAAGGCAACTTATGGAAGGGGAGAAAATATTTTCAAATCATATCTGATAAAGAATATCCAAAATATATAAACAATTCATACAACACAATAGGAAAAAAATCTGATTTAAAAATGAGCAAAGAATCTGAATAAACATTTTTTCCAAAGACATACAGACATACGAAAAGATGATCAACATCACTAATCAGGAAAATGCAAATCAAGACCACAATGAAGTATCACCTCACAAGTCAGAATGGCTAAAATAAAAAAGCATTGACAAGGATGGGGAGAAAAGGGAAACCTGATACACTGTTGGTGGAACTGTAAGTTGGTGTAAGCACTATGGAAAGGTATGGAAATTCCTCAAAAAATTAAAAACAACTACCCCACAGTAATTCCACTTCTGGCTATTTATTTAAAAGAAAAACTAACTCAAAAAGGTATCTGCAACCCCATGTTCACTACACCATTATTTAACAATAGCCAAGATAGAAAACTGTAAGTGTCCATCAAAGGATGAATAAAGAAAATGTGGCATGTATCTACGATGGAATAGTTCTCAACCACAAAAAAAGGAAATTTTGCCATTTGTGATACATGGATGGACCTTGAGAGCATTATTCTAAGTAAAATAAGTCAAAGACAAATACCATGTGATCTCAGTTATATGTGGAATCTAAAAATTTTTTAGATGCAGAGAACAGATGGTTGCCAGAGGGGGTGGGCAAAATGGGTGAAGAGCATCAAAAGGTATTAACTTCAAATTATAAAATAAATAAGTCATGGGGGTATAATGTACAGCATAGCATGGTAACCATAGTTAATAATACTGTATAATGATATATGTATTATACAGTATTGCATATATAAAATACTGTATTGCATATATGAAAGTTCCTAATAGATCTTAAAGTTCTCATTACAAGAAAAAAATCTAACCATGTACAGTGACAGAAGTTAACTAGATTTATTGTGATTATTTTGCAATAGATACAAATATTGAATCATGGTCTACACCTGAAACTAATGTTATGTTAATTATGCCTCAATTTTTAAATTAAAATTAGTAGATGATAACAGGGCCCCTCCCTCTGACCTAGTAGTGATAATTCTCTGCAGTAAAGAGGGGAAGCTGCTGTCTCATCCCGCTGCTCCCCTACCCCTGGGCCCAAAGGGGCCTCTTTCAGTATCTCCCTTACCCTGCGGGTCTAGGGCCGTCAGTGAGAAGCAAATAGCTCACTCCAGAAACACTAGGAAGCCAGCAGGACCAGGGCCCAGATGGCACTACCACCTCTGCCACCAGACCACCACAGGGCCAGCAGCTTTTCTGGGTCCCGCATCTGCCCCCTACACATTCCTGCCAGGTTTATGTTAGCTGGGGAAGACCAAAGGAGAATTCAGTTCAGCTCAAAGAACTCTGCTAGATCTTAGTTTCTAAATGTCATGTCCAATAAAAGGAAGCAGGACTTGGGAAAATGGCTGGTTCTAAGGCTGGGGCATCCTAGAGTACCAGAAAGTAAGCAAGTATTTCCTGCTGAAGACCAGAGTCCTCAGTCCGACGCTGTAAACTGGTGTTCAGCTCCTGTGCCTCAGGCCACTGACTGGTATGCACAAGCACTGGGTGGTCTTACAAGCAAAATGGAAATAAGGTTGTCAGAAAATATCAGTTTCAAGAAAAATAAATGAATACTACTATATGAAGATACTGTCGGTTCTGGGAGGTGGGGCTTAGTCAACTCACTGAGAGGAGGTTAAACTTACTGACCTGCTCCCAAGGAACAGGGTAGGGAAAGAAAAACACTGACTTCACCAAGTGCCGAAGGTTCACATCCCCCATGAGGTTATGTGCACATCATGTCCCCTCAGATACATGTGATGAGAAGGGCATTTCACCTCTGTGGTATTCTCCACCAAACCATAACCTCAGTCTAATCATGAGAAAACAGACATCCAGGGTGGGGAACATTTCTACAGAAAACTTGGCAAGTGCCCCTCAAGGCTGTTAAGGTCATGAAAAACAGGGAAAAACAGAAAGATTATCATAGACCAGGTGAGGCATGTAAGTTAAGTGCAGTGAGGTATCCTGGTCTGGATCAGAACAGGAGGACATTAATGGAAAATCTGGTGAAACCCAAATAAAGTTTAGAGTTTAGCAAATAGTAATAAACCAATGCAGTTTCTTAATTTTAACAAATGTACCATGGAAATGCAAAACATAAGCAATGGGGAAAACTGAGGGGTATATAGGAACTCTGTACTACCATTGTAACTTTCAGTAAATCTAAAATTACTTTTTTAAAACCCTTTTTTTTTTTTTTTTAAGTACTAGCTGGGCAAGAGAAGGGATGCAAAGACAACGCAGTCATTTGCCCTCAGAATCCTTGACCTGTCTGGGGGGAGGCTCATGTGTAGGGGGAATGGCCATCCCAGTTTGCCTGGGACAGTCCCTACTTCACATGCATTGTCTCAGCATCATTGTTAATCACAAGCACACCCTTTTACTTCCAGGAGTATTCTTTCTTGGACATTAAATTATTTGGTCACATTACCTAAAAGACACAAATTAAGCTATGGAGTCAGAGATGGGAGGGGACACTTGTGCGCCTGGAGGGATGAGTGGGGGGTTATGGAATGAAGACAGGGGGATGGGAAGCGGGGAGGGACGGCCCAGGCCTGGCAGCCTCCAGACAACAGGCTAAGCCCCCAGGATATGTTCTTTTTAAGACACAGAAGTCTGAAGTCAGAGAAAACTAAGAGAAGCAACAAATGTGATTGGAATATGGGTCAGCTAGGGTTTGGAGCAAGCTAAAAGGACTACAACTCTATTGTGACAGTAATTATTTTCAAGCAAATAAGAGGGAAAGTTGCTACACCACTCTACAAATTAAAAAGCTACAAAATCAATTTCCTGGAAGAAGATCTTTTTTTTCCCTTACATATTCATTCTTCTCTTAACAATTCCTATACCTTCTCTAGGAATTGATATACACTGAGCCAAGTGTCCGCTCACCCAAGCTAACTTTCATTGGTATTGTGAGATCCCTCTCAACACCAATACTGCCATTTGCTCAGCTCTACCTGTACAAGATGGTAGCAGCTGCTTCCTAGGACCTGGGAGTCTGGCCCAACCTGTGGCTCAGTCATGTGCTCTGCTGACCCAGAGCTGACACTGTCTCCCCTCCAGAACACACTGCCTCACCCCCATGTGGCATTCTGCATTGCTGAAGTAAAGTGTCAGCTTCAGTAAAGCATAACCCTCAGGTTTTCTTGTGAACTCCAGATTTCAAAGAATAAGAAGAAACGTTTTACGAAAACCCTGTTGCTCTTTCAGGGAAGAAGTCTTGAATTCTAGCTTTTACTATGAAAAGTAAACAGTGT